GCTCGAGCCGGCTCGTGCGGAGCTTTAACCAAATGCACAAACCTTGTCAATGAATGTGTTTATAATAGGACTCAAAGAAGGAGCAAGGGAGAGGGCTATTATAGATTCATGGTATTATTGGACGCGTAAAAAATAAAAAGAATACATAATAAATTTAAATAATAAATAATAAATTTAAATTTAATAATTTATACAAAATATTTCTTTCTTCAGAATACATTAATTTTTTATTTAAAATTAAATATATACGAATAATTAAATAAATTTTGCAAATTGCAACGCTTTCAATAAAACATACTAGGGTATTACGAGTTTTTCTAATGAGTCGACGCCAGTAAACAGGGAGCCAATAAAAATCCTATTTGCCCATTCGCAAAATAAAAAGCCCATTCGCAACTTTATAGGAAGGTTTTTAAAAAAGGGCTGTAAATAATATGACTTTTTAAGTTTAAAAAGTATTTTCCTGGTTAGAGGCTTTCTAACCATATAAGTTTCATCCTTTCACATTAAGTATTACATAAGTTTACATTACACAGAAAATTAGTGTTATGATTTGCCATATTGATGGTAATAAATTATCATGTGATTTTCTATATCTTTAAATTCTAACCTCTTAAACCAAAAACGATGAAGTTATACAGATGAAGTGTGCCCATATGTGAATATATATATGAATAAAAGATATGCTGACCATTTGTGCAAGAGCAGCTGACCATTGTATGATAAATTTGTCAGTTTGGCTTGATTGGTTGATATTTTGTCATGTGATTATAATTGAGAACCGACATCCTTAATCTGTAATTTCACATGCTATCGATGACAAAGAGATGATTTCGATGATGTTATAGTCCTCTATAAATCGTCGATAATTTATCTTGGTTTATAACTTGTTATTTTTAAATGAGTATCATTAATAATCATACGGTTTATTATGTAATTTAAAATAATTGATAGATCACAATTTAAGAACTTTATATAATATAAGACTTTTGATCGCCTTTGCCAATCCCAAAAGTACGGTTAAATCACTCAGTATTTATTAAACAAAATAGAATTTTAATAAAAAATTTAGACAAATTGTTACCTTAAATTTAATATTTAAATAAAATGAAAAAAAAATTGATAAAAAGCTAAAGATAAATAAAAGAAAGTTTAGAAATAAAAAGCAAAAAGAATAAGAAGATAAAGCAAGAAAAATCAGGAATTAATAAGAAGGGAAAGCAATTTCTATATTCTCAAGTTCTAATAACCAAAAATTAACAAAATCCATCGCGAAAAAAAAATCGATTAGTTTATTATAACGAAATGCAAAACTATTAAGCGAGTATACTCTACCTTAAACCTATGATACTGACAAATGCGTCATCAAATGTCATCGCCATTATTCCAGCTATAAGAAAATGGTATTGTTAAGAAGAAAAAGTAAAAGCAACAGGTTCATGCAAAGGATAAACATAAATTTAACGATCGCAAGATATTCGCGTCCATCATTAAACCATCCAAACAAGAAAGCATATGANATATTATTTAATAAAAATTTTATTGATTATAAATGCATTTTAAATTCTGTTTGCAAATATAAAATATACGATTTAATTGAATAATATATACTATTTATCAGTACAAAATATGCAGTTTAAACTGGAAAAAAGTACTGTTTATCAGTATAAAATATACGGTTTATCCTGGAAAAGTATACTGTTCGCAATATAAAATATAAAACAATATACTGTTTATTGGTATAAAATATACGGTTTTTCTACTATTTACAAGTATAAAACATACAGGTAAAACTGGAAAAATATACTGTATGCAAACCGTATATATGATACGGTGTGCAGAATACCGAATATATACAGTATGTGAAAATACTGTAATTATACGGTAATAATACTATATATAAATATACTGTTCGCAAAATACGAAAATACAGTATACTAACTGTATATATATTTTTTATAAGGTTGGTATCTGATTGAGACAATCAGTTACTAATCAGGCACAAATCGGATACCTGATTGATGACTGATTTGACATCTTTTGACCTGTAAAAGTTCATGATTATTGAGTAAATGTTGAATTAAGCTTTCTACTTGAATGTGTCATAGTTCTTTATTTGTTAGTGTATCTGGTTCATTATTCTTTTTTTTAAAACCAGCAGCAAAGACATATCCATTATAATATTTCATTATGTGTTACTCAAAGTTATAATAACGTATATATTGTTTTTTTACTATTAATAGCACATAATAAAAAGTAAGCAAAATTGATAATAAAAAAAACACATAAATAAATTTTTAAAACAATTAAACTTACATAAATTTTTTTGAATATTTTTGCTTGCATCAGTTGCATGTTTGAGATCTGCATAATAAATTTCTGAGATGATAGAAATATTAGCCAATGTTTTATTAGAATCTAAATCTTTATCAATATAGACTTCAAGTAAAATGTTAGATTCTTCCAATATTAGGGTAATTTGTTCCAGAAGTGCAATTAAGATAGCATGTTCCATTTGGCAAGAACTAGCATCAAAATTACCCTCTTATATTACAACTTTTTCATCAGAAGTTCTATCTTTTCCTTTTTTGGTAGTAATACAAGATTTTTCTACTGCATCAGGAAATTTTATAGCGCGAAAAATTGTGTAAATTTACGATTTTGTAAGTTTACAAAAGTTTATGGCATAATATTTCAAAAAATTTCAAAATATTACATAAGTTTACAATTTCGTAAGATTTATGTGATATTACGGTTAAAATATTACACAAGTTTTCAATATCGTAAAATTTACGCAATATTACGGTCAAAATATTTTGAAAATTTACGAAACTGTAAACCTGCGTAATATTACAGTTAAAATATTTTGAAAATTTACAAAACTGTAAATCTGCGTAATATTACAGTTAAAATATTTCAAAAATTTACGAGATTGTAAACCTGCGTAATATTACTATTTGATCGTTAAAGCTGCGTAAGCAGTAGAACGTATACAAGGGCATGTGATACTATTGAATAATCAAAAATAATATAAACACCTTTTTTTTATATAAACACCTTTTTTTTTAAGTTTGGGAAAGCAAATTTATTTTTATTTACAAATTTTTTATTATTTACAATTTTTATGTTAAAAATTAAAGTAAATTCTAATTTTTATTATAACTTAATAAAAAAAATACACATTTGATACTTGTTCGCTACTATTTTATAAAATAGTACCCAGGCTGTATGGCATGGACGTCAGTATTAGTCACAGCCCAAAAAAAATGTGAGTCTCCAGCCGATATTTGGTATGGACTGGGTCTAGCTACTCACTTAATAAATAATAAAAAAATAAAAATAATTATCTTCTTCTATGATACGTAGGTAAGTTTCTCCTTGCCCTACGATCATTACACGTAACTAAAATTAATCAAATTTATCAAATTTAAAACATGAACGTAAATATTAATTATAAATTTTAGTAGTGTTTTAAGACATATTAATATATTAATATGTCTTAGGACACTACTTGTTCAAGACTAATATGTCCTAGGATATTATAATCTAATAATTAATATGTCTTAAGACATTATAATCTATTAATTAATGTCCTAGGACGTTATAATCTATTAATTAATATGTCCTAGGATATTATAATACACATATTAATATATCCTAAAGATGGGGTCTATTTCCTCTCTCTGTGACCTGTTGGTTAGTAAATATGGATGAGGTGCGCGCCTATTTGGTTGCCTTTCTAGATGCCAAAATATGGTAAAAAAATATCATGTCAGGTGGCGCAATAGATCTGCGATTAATTTCTGGCTGATCTTTAGAACACATGATCTGATAGATCCAAGTTGGCGTCATGGTAGCGATCTGATAGTATCATGGAACTGTCATGGAACTGATGTAGAACTGGTGGGGAACTAATAGGAAGCCAGAGAGTTTCTATTTGTTCGCCAGTTTTATGCCAGCTTGGGTGCTGAATTATTATATCCAAAAATCTGGCCGAAGTTATGGAATAGTGCTGGCCGAAATTAATTGAAATTTACTGTGCCAAAAATTTTGGGTAACAGGCTAGTTGCAAGCTTATTGCGGGCTAGTTGTGGGCTCTTCCCCGTTTAGGGATGGTTAGGTCGATCCTGGTCCGGTCCTGGTCCTAGGACCTATAAGTCCTATTGAACGGACCTGCGGACCAGGTCCTGTTAGGACCAGTCCTGGACCTCCTGGTCCTGACTAAGTTATTTATAGATTTTATGAATTTTAGTAATAATTAAATATAAAAAAAGTGAGTTGCGATATCGGGATTCACTTTTTTATATTGATTTTATATAAAAAAAGTGAGTTGCGGTATCGGGATTCACTTTTTTATATTGATTTTATATAAAAAAA